TACCTCCCCTCAAAGAGTACGTTAAGCTTTTGGGGGAGTGACAATAGGAAACATCAAAATGATGGAAAAGCATACTAAGTAATTACAATAACGCCATTGGCGGTCCCCCTYACAAAATACAAGTAAAGCCCACCCAGGACACACATGTTGACACCATGAAGGCACACGGTTGGCACTCGGATGGCTCACTGTAGGTGCTTGATGGCGCGGCGAAGGAGTCACTTGTGACATACTGGCAGTCTGGCATTGCAGCAAACTGAAGAATCCGTCTCAAGCACCAGATAGGAAATACTTTCCAAAGAGAAAAAAATTGTCAACAAACATGGACCTGAATAGGAGTAAATAGGATGCATGGGTGGGAGGTTCCATTGGGGAACCTGCTGTAAAAGAACTTACAAAATGGGGTATGTAGTGTATACTAGCCTTCAAAAAGGGTTGCCTTATATATTGTACCACACTTGTAAGTTGTAAACCATTATTTTGAACACTTCACTAAAACTCTTTGATTGTTCCAATCAACAAAAAAGAAAATAAAAAAAGGAAAAACATGGACCTGAATAATGAAAGAAGCATTAAATCATGTATAGATCAGAATGCTACAACAGTATTTATAAAGAGAAGGTTTACATCCCTGTGGTATTAGATGAAAATATATTGATATTGGTTTCTCATAGTTAGTCATACATTTCTTCTGCATGCCAAGCCTCATTGGATATATATTTAATATGTTCACTCAAATCTGTCAAACTGGAATAGACTTCCTCCAAACAAGGGTGAGAATCATCACCAGCAATAAATTCATGAACCACATTATTAACCTCAATCCAACTACATCCTGGTATCTTCTTGATTCCACTGCTCTTCATCAATCTCCTCACTCCTGCAGCTTCTTCCCACCTCCCATCAGCTGCATAAATATTTGATTTCAATACTAAGAATGCACTATTTGTTGGATCTAGCTCAGAAATTCGTCTTGCTATCTTTTCCCCTAATTCCATATTTCCATGTATCCTGCAAGCAAAAGCCAAGGTACCCAAGATAACTAAATCTGCCTCAATAGATTCGACAATCTTCATTGCCTCATCAAACCTACCCGCCCTCCCCAATAGATCCACCATGCATCCATAATGTTCCATCTTAGGTTCAATACCATAATCCTTCTTCATCAAATTGAAATACATACGACCCATGTCTACCAAGCCTGAATGACTACAAGCAGTTAACACACCAATCATGGTGATATCGTCTATGCCGATTCCTGTTCTTTGAGCATCTCTAAACACCTCAATAGATTGCTTACCCATTCCATGAGCTGCAAAGCCTGAGATCATTGCATTGTAACATGAAATTGTTTTCGAATTTATGCCCTCAAAAACTTCTTGGGCATTTCCTATGCTACCACACTTGGCATACATGTCTATTAGAGCAGTTCCCAGAAAAGCGTCAATGTCAATTCTGTTGCTCTCTACATAATCATGGATACGTATACCCACATCCAGTAACCCCAAATCTGCAATAGCAGAAAGAACAGTCACAATTGCCATTTTATCAGGTTCTACACCAACAGCTTGCATCCGATGGAAGAAATCCAGGGCCTCCCTAGAATACCCAACTTCGACATAACCGCTAATCATGGTGGTCCAAGAAGAAACATTTCGGATCGGCATCGAGTCAAACAACTCATTGGCCGCTTCCACTAGCCCATATCGGACATAGCTTGCTAGAATTGCATTCCAAGCCACAACATCTCTATCAGTCATTCTATCAAAAACCTGACGGGCAGCTAGAATTCCACCACTAGAGCCATACATATCCAACAATGACGTCTGAACATAAACATCTGAACTCAAACCCAACTTCAAAATGTGACCATGAAGAACCTTGCCTTCTTCGAGCGCAAGGAGCTCCGAACACGCTTTTAAAACAAAGGGGTACGTAAAATTATTAGGTAAAGAACCATGGTTGATCATTTTGTAGTAAAAGATCAAGGCATCTTCATGTAAACCGACATGGACAAAGCCTCTGATCATGTTATTCCATAAGAACTGATTCGGGTCAGGAACCTGTTCGAAGACCCGAGTTGCGTAAGAAGGATTGTTGAAAGAGAAGCAAGCAGAGACAAACTTCGTAGCGACGAAATTGTTATGGTGGATGGAGTTGCGAATAATGCGAGCATGGATTTCGGTCATTTGCTTGAAGGTGGTGCAGGATTGGAGCAATGAGAAGGCTTGGTTCTCCAGCTGTTGCGTTGTATAGATGCTACTTCTGTTGGTTCTGTTTTGAACTACAGGTGTTCGGGGTGGTGGACGTGGAATGAACATTAGTGAAGAAGCCATATCTGGGACTGGGAGTTTTGGCGTTCTCACGTTAGCATTCTGTGAAGTGAAGCGTGAAAGACTGAAGAGTGAACAGTGAAATGTGTTTGAGCCTTTAAGGGTTGGACCGAGCCGAGATAGTCCACAGTCCACCGATCAGGTCAACCCAGTGGCCCATCCATGCCCGGTCTAAATTGCTAAAACAGTAAAACCTGCCGTATTTAATTATTTTTCCTGAATCGCAGATTGGTTCAGTTTAAGTCAAATTGAACCGGTATTGTTCCTACACTTCTACTACCCAAAAATAACCGGTATTATTTTAACTGCCGCTCGGTATTTCAACGCAATTACTGGGTTATTTTCGACAACGAAATTTCTACTTGGAGTTCGAGTTGCAGAGTGTTCCCCATCTTCTCTCACTCGTGTATCCATGGCGACGGTCGAAGTCGCTGAGCCAAGGAAGATGCCTCGGCCTGGTCGAGGCGGGGTGGTCGGCCACGGACTCAGCGAAGAGGAAGCGCGAGTCCGGGCAATCGCGGAGATCGTGAACGGCATGGTGGAGCGCTTGCGCAGAGGAGAGAACGTTGATCTGAACGCCCTCAAATCCGCAGCTTGTCGCAAATATGGCCTCGCTCGTGCCCCCAAACTCGTCGAGATGATAGCAGCGGTGCCGGAATCGGAACGCGAGTCTCTGCTCCCTCGCCTCCGAGCCAAGCCCGTCCGCACCGCTTCTGGTATCGCCGTTGTGGCTGTCATGTCGAAGCCTCATCGTTGTCCACACATCGCTACCACCGGGAACATCTGTGTGTATTGCCCCGGCGGACCTGATTCTGATTTTGAGTACAGCACCCAGTCTTACACCGGATATGAACCCACCAGTATGCGAGCAATTCGCGCCAGGTAACTTTCCTCGCTTTCTTCTTTTTCTTTATTTATAATAATTTTTCATACTCTGGTTCCTATCCGTTTAAGCGGCGTTCTTGTCAATCTTATGAACTGGATAATGTCTTTTATTTTATTTTATTTTGAATTGCATCTATATTGATCGATTCAATGGTATCGGTTCTATATCTCTTGCCCTCTTTCCTTACTGTTAGATAACAACCAGTTATTGAAGGACCTAGAGCAACAGAACCTTATTTTGACAAGGGTTCCATACTTGCATTGGTTTCTCTGTAAAATGGACATAAAATTTTCAGGTTGAAGTATTACAGCTATCATTTTTGTTTTTTCGCCCCTTCTAACTTATTTTGATGGAATGGAAAGGAAAAACAAAATTTTCATTATTAAAAGGGATGAAAATATAGCTCAGATATTTCAGCATGAAAACAAAATATGCAGCAAACTGGCTTTGATGGTTTCAGCCTGATGTTTCATCAAGGATACATGGTACACCCGATAGTGATTAAAGGACATTGACTAAGAGTTTTCCCACCAAATAGTGCCACACTTGGTCTTGGTTAATGATTGCTTTTAATTAGGATTCAAAGAAGGGGGTAGTTTTTTTGGAAAAAATACAGAATCATGAATTTAATTTGGAAAAATAGCCTAAAGGTGGTCTGATGGTTGCAAACAGTGTTAGTAGATGGGCATACTACATGGGAAAAGGTATGTAGGCTGAAAGAATTTTTTTTTGGGGGGGGAGGGGGGCTGGGGATAAGAAGATTAAAAATCTTTAACAAAGCCTTGCTAGGGAAGTGGTTTTGGAGGTTTGGGACTTTGTGTTAGAAAGGGAAAGATATTCTCTTTGGAGGAGGGTGGTAGTAGGGAAATATGGAGAGTCAAGGCTGGGTTGGGAGCCAAGAGAGGTGTCAAGTTCTTATGGAGTGTATGGAAAGTCATTATGAAATTCAACCAAGAATTCAGGAATTTAGTGAGCTTTTAGGGTGGGAGTGGGGGGACTAGGGTGAGGTTTTGGGAGGATGATTGGAGTGGGGTTGGAAAGCTGTGTAATATCTGTCCAAGACTCTACAGACTAGCAGAACACCAGGTGGTGATTGCCCAATGTCATGAGATGAGAGGCGAGCAGTTGGTGTGGTGTCCCAACCTCAGAAGACCTTTGCTGGATGAAGAAGTGGAGGAGTGCGTGCTGTTGTTGGATAAGTTAGAACAGTCCAAGTTATCTCTGTCTTCGAGCTCGACTCGCTGAAATTGTATTAGGCTCGAACTCGAGCTCGAGCTCAGCTTGGTTCAAAGCTCACAAGTTCGAGCTAGGCTCAACTCGATCTCGATTGCAAGTCGAGTTTTTTCGAAAAAATAAAAATTATACATATAAAAGTATTTTTTATTTTACATACAAAAAACTAAGAATTATAAAAGTGATTTATTACTATACATATAAAAAATAAAAAATAAAAAATATACATATAAAAATGTTTTTATTTTACATACAAAAAAAAGAATTATACAAATTATTTACTATTATACATAAAAGATAAAAATATTATTATATATAACAAAAATGATTTATTATATATATATATATTTATATATGTATATGTATACTAGGCTCGATTAGGCTCGTGAGCCTCACGAGCCGAGCTTGGCTCAATTAGCAAACGAGCTTATATATCAGGCTCAAACTCGGTTCGAAGCTCGGTTTAAACCGAGTCGAACTGAGCTTTTCATGAGCCAAACTCGAATAACTCATGAGAAGCTTGGCTCGTGGCCACCCCTACCTGTAGAGATATTCTCAGCCTGGGCAAGGTTTAAAGGAAGCAAGAAAGCAAACATTTTGTGGAGCAGCATCCCTTTTGCATTGTGCTGGACTTTATGGAAGGAAAGAAATGAATGGCTGTTCGAAGACAAGTCCAAAAGCATTGAAGCTGTGGTCACCTCGGTAGGAAAGCTTGTTTCAAGCTGGGTCTCGATTCTACCAGAATTTGAGCAATTTAATAGTGCAGACCTAGAGGAAAATTTCTGGGGTGTTCTTGAGATCCCAGCTTGTAATGTAAATATTTTTTCATAGCTTCAGTTGTTTGGGTGTTACCTTGACACCTACTAAAGTTGTATCTTTTTTTTTATTTAATAAAATTTTTCTTCTTTACTCTTCAAAAAATAAGTACTACATGTGTTATTTTATAAAAATTCAAGCTCATGGTGAATGGAGTGAAATTTATGGATTAATATGCATATTCTTCAAAATAATGATTTATATCAGCATGAAATGAGTAAAATATTGTAGTTTCTCAAGAAAACATGTAAATAAAAGAAATCCAAAATAGAAAATAGAAGAAGAAAAATGAAAGGGAGGTTAATTGGAAGTAATGGGTATTGATAAAAAAATGGAAGTAATGGGTGTTTATGCACAGCGAGGACGGTCCATTAAGCTCTGCCATTCAGAACCATGATGAATATTAGGGCATTACCATTGATCAGTCAAAGAGGGTAGGGAAGACAGGAAGAGGAAGAGGAGTGTGGGATATTCGGTCTCCTGGTTAAGGCTATGTTCAAAATGTTAGATATTGAGTGTTGGATATGTTAGGTTTTATTTTATTTGTATATATAGATACATTGGGACTGAACAGAATGGAATGGTGAAGGGTTCATGTAGTCAACCCAAGGATTAAAATATAGATACAATACACCCAATATGGGATTGGGACGTATCGTATCACTGGGATACATCGATACACAGACTTTGAAATATTTAAAGGGTCTTAGACCTCTTCCCCAACCCCCTGATTATTATAAAATAAAAAACAAAAAAACATGAGTATCGGCCATATCGATGCGCACTGACACCCATGTTTGGGTATCGGGTGTATCGATATTTTAATCCTTGAGTCAACCCCATATAGTCAGGACAAGGGTTAGAGGATGATGATAGAGATACATTGGGAATTGGAGTAGCTTTTGTTTCCTTACAGCAGTCTAAAATGTAGCTTGTTTGCGACTTGTGAGTGGTGCAACCTGCAGTCATTTATCATAAGCTCATGACTAGAAACTACCAAGCCCAAGTAATCATTTTTTGGGTGCAGTCACAAATAATCATATTAGTATTTTATGGACATAGGATGAATATGATTTAAGGGCCAATAATTTAACAATGGATATGGCATTGAACAGAACAAAATGGTAGAACACAATTTGTGTAGCTAACCATATAGAGTTAAGACAAAGGGTTAGATGATGATGGTGGTGGTGATGATGACGATGATGATATGTGGAATATTAATTACAGAAAAAGATTGTGTAGAACATAGATAGCAGGAGGGAAATAATATATAATGGTTGAGATCTCTATACTATTTTTTGCACAGAGGAAGGCTGCATGGCCTTGACTTCTACTTGGATTTCCTCTTTAAGCCCCCCAATAAAGCAGCCCAACAGAGTTCTTTCTGGCCACCCCTGTTCCCGTGTGGCAAGGCCTTTGAATTCTAATTGGTAATCTCTTACAGGGCCTATCTATCTTATTTTGGATAGACTCTGTTAGACAGTTTTGTGTGCCCTTAGCTTCAATCAAAATGATGTACTTTATGAGTTTATTGTAAATGAATAAAGATACATATTTGATTCATGTTCCCTTGGTATGTTTCTGTGTGATACCCTTAAACT